ATCTTTGTAAAAATCAAAACCATTTTAGTTTAGCTGGGTATGATTTATATCATAAGTAATTAGGAGTGTGTGAATGGAAGCCCAACTTCAGAATTTCAATTAGAAAGGGGTCTTCGTCAAGGTGGCCCGCTATCTCCTTTGTTATTCATTATTGTTATGGAGGGGTTACATGTGGTTGTGGTGGATGCAATAGAACCTAATGCTATTTGAGGGGCTAAGGTGGGTAATATGTTAATCTCTCATCTTCTTTATGCGGACGATGTTATGTTCCTGGGAGAGTGGTCAATAATTAATATGAATGGGGTGGTTAATTTATCACATTGCTTTTACATGGTGTCGGGCTTGAGAATAAACATTCATTAGTCAGTGTTGTATGGTGTTGGTGGTAGAGGTGATCATGTTAAGGAAATGGCAGAAGTGTTGGGTAGTAAAGCAGAGCAATTTCCTTTCTCTTACTTAGGGATTCCGGTAGCAGATAACATGAATAGGATGGCTGCATGGTTACCTATTATAGATAAATTCAAGTCAAAATTATCTAAATGGAAAGCGAGTATGTTGTCGATTGGTGGTAGATTGATCCTAACCAAGTCGGTTCTGAGCTTGTTGGGAACATATTTTATGTCCATGTTTCCCATGTTGGTTCAAGTAAGAAAGGCTTTAGAGACGTTACGAGCTAAATTCTTTTTGGGTTCTATGGATTTGATAAAAAAAATCCCTTGGGTTTCTTGGAATATTATCCTTGCTAGTAGAGAAAAAGGTGGATTGCAAGTTGAGAGTTTACATGCTCTTAATGCAGCGTTGATGCAGAAGTGGAGACGGAGATATGTGCATGAGAAGGAGGCGATTTGGGTGCAATTGATTAAAGAGATCTATGGGATAAGGACCCATAACCTGTTTGATAATTTGACAGTTCTAGGTGGTGGCGCCTGGTTGGTTATAATTGGATCCATTAACAGATTACATGATAGTGGTATCATTCCTAAATCAGTGATGCAGAAGGAGATAGGAGATGGTAGAAGCACAAAATTCTGGATTGATAATTGGATTGGTTCGATGGCTTTCAAAGATATATTTAAAAGGTTATTCTATTTGGAATCTTCTCCTAATTGTTTGGTTGCAGATCGTTGGAATGAAGGATGGAAGTGGAATTGGAAGAGACAATTTGATGGAGGCGCTTTAAAGAGAAAGCTTGGCGAACTCTTACTTATAATTAACCAAGCCACTATTTCTCATGATAAAGATATATGGAGATGGAATCTAGATGGTCAAAGTGAGTTCGCGGTTAATGAAGCGAGACGATACATTGACAGATTAACCTTACTGGAAAACTTTTTGGAGACTCGGTGGAATCGTTTTATTCCTTCAGAAGTAAATATTTGTGGATGGAGAATTCGGCTTGATAGAATCCCGACTAGATGGAATTTGAGTAGGAAAGGAATTCAAGTGGAGTCTATTTTATGTCGTATATGTTCCAGAGTGCTATGGAGACAAGTGATCATATCTTTGCTGCATGTGGGCTAAGTAAATCGATATGGGGTTTAATAGGTCGATGTTGTGATGTCGATACTAGGAACTGGTCCTCTACGATGGAGCTATTTCAGTGGATTGATTCGGTTCAAGTTATGGCAGGTAAAAGAGTTGTTCTTGATGTGATATGTAGCGTGGGGCTGTGGAGCATATGGAGAATCAGAAATGAGCCGGTGTTTGGCAACAAAATTCCAAAAAAAAAAATCGGCTTTTTGAGGATGTAACACCCCATTTTAAATAAAATAATTAAATAATAAACCCGGGACCCCGAGAAGTAATTTACTATCATTTTATATTATTATAGCCCAAAATCGAATAATAATTAGTGGGGTGTTGGTTTCGGGAAGCCAAATGACAAGATTTGAACCTCCAGGGGTTAAAGTGTAATTTTGGGATTTATTTTGCAAAGGGTTTTAGAAGTCAGGGGTTTGGTATCATTTGGACTTAATATGAAAGGTTTTTGGATGGTTGCGGCTAAAAGGGTAAATTATGTACCTAAGCTAAAAAGAATTTGTCATGGAGGGGCCAAATGGTAAATTTTGGGATTTAAATTGAAAGAAAAAAGGGTAGGAGGGACTAAGAGTGTCATTAGGGACCAAAGTTTGGATGTATCAGGTATATAGTCATCTACCCTTGTAGCTGTAACCCTAATCGAATGATTAGCCACCACCTTATGCCTCCCTTCACACCAGCCGCCACCCTTCCCTTACCACCTCCGGCGACGCCTCCGTAACACTCCAGTGAACCACCGAACGACTGCCATCACAACTCCAATGATAGGATTGAAGCTTGACATCGTGGATGATGTTGTTGTTTTCTCAACTGTCGCCGTCGCCGACGACGACGAAGCCGGAAGCCGCACCGTCGAGGACCACCACTGTTACATCCACTGCCAGCGAGGATCGATGCGAAGGAACATCGTGGCCGTTGGGAGAAGCCGGAAGAGCTTGACCGTGGCTGTCATCGTCGTGAAACCTCCTTCTTTCCCGGTTCGTTGTTGTGACGCCACCATTCTTCTCATTCTCCTTCCGGGAAGCCGTTGCCGCCATCGTTTAGTTCTCCCACTGCTCCGGCCGTCATCCGCCACCCCAAGGAGGCTGCCTTTGTGTGTTTCAGCCTGTGTGTCGCAAGCATGGGGGTGTTTTGGGTGCTGATTGTGATATAATGCACGATTGACATGAAAAGACCCGAAAACAAACCACCATGGCCGCCGGCTATAGTGGTTGCCGCCTTCTTGTGTAACCACTGTCGTCGTACGCCACCAGGTGGGTGGTTGGACTCGTTTACAAACAAAAGAGTGTATGTGTGTGTGTGGTTACCTTGGCCGGATTTCAGGAGAAAAGCCACCACCACCACCACCGTGAGGTGGTGGCTGCGACCTATAACCACCGTCTGCCGCCATAGGGCGGCTGTGTGTGTGAGTGTGTGTTGTCGGGATTGTCTTGTAAATTGTAATCGGTGTCGGAACGATAATAAGAAAACTCTATATCACAACCGTAAGGTGGTGGCTGCCGCCTCTTGCCGCCAATAGCCATCGTGTTAGGTGGCGGTGTGCCTAGTCTGCGTTTTGACTCGTTTGGGAGGCTTGAATAGAATGGGCCTGACAAAACCCTAGTGGGCCCAATGAAACCCTAATGGGCCCAGTGAAGCCCTAATTGACCTAAGATCCCAACCAAGTGACTAATGGGCTAGTATTGGGTTGGAAACCCTAATTAGGGTTTGGAAAACCCTAATGTCATGCAACCATAATTTTGGGGATTGATCGGGACGCACACTTGAATTAATTGCTAAACTGAAAATGTTAATTAATAACCATTCGTAAATTAACCTAAGGCAATATTGGACTTAATGGATTAAGCCCTTAAGGGGTTAAGTATGAACACTTAACCCTAATCATCATTTCATGTGAAAACCCTAACTTCACTTGGGCCTTAATTTGGGCCTTCCTTTTGGGCCTTGGTAATTGGACTATTAATAGGCTATCTAAGAACAAGTAAATGGACCAAAATAATTAGATGGGTTTTACGATAAGGCCCATGTGAAGGACTTGGGCCCAATTTGGAAAATTGGGCCATATGTGGGCCATAAACTGGGCCTTGATGATTATGTGATATTAGGCCATGGGAATATCAAGAGTTTGGACTAGAATAAATGGATGGGGCCTCAAGGAAAGACCAGGTAGAGGTCTGGGCCCAATTTGGAAAATTGGGCCATATGTTGGGCTTTTGCCCATTACTTGACTACCATATGTTGGGCTTTTGCCCATTACTTGACAATTGGGCCTTTGGAGTGTGAGTTGGACCTTGGGCTTAGAACCCAATTATTAATTGGGTATTGTTTGATGTTGGCAGTTCGGAAATCTGTCAACAAGCAGCTAGAGTTTCATCTGCGGGACTTCAGCAGTGCCAGGGGAGTTATCCTCACTATACTAAGGGGTCTAAGGCACCAAGGTCGGCGCATTGGATATGATATCCTAGCAGTTGGTATTATGTTAAGTATGAGTTAGTTATGCATGCTAGTCTGATATACTAAAGGGTAAGTCTGTAGGACTACCTGTGATATTGTCTTTTATTTGTATGTGCACTTATTTGTTATATGTTGACATATTATATGGGTTGGGTTGAGGTTGTATAGCCCCGTACAGTAGCCAACAAACCCTAGAGTATTCCAGATATGAGCTGAGGGCCGGGACGAGCATGCCAGACTCATACTGAGGACTCGGGAGCATTCCAGATACGAGCTGAGGGCCGGGTATGGCATTCCAGACTCGTATTGTGGGCTCGGGAGCATTCCAGATACGAGAGGGTCGGGTATGGCATTCCAGACTCGTATTATGGGCTCGGGAGCATTCCATAGACGACCTGAGGGCCGGGTAGGGCATACCAGACTCGTACTGTGGGCTCGGTAGCAATCCAAATGTGAGATGTGGGCCCGGAAGGCAAGCCAGACTCACACTATGGGCCCAGGGGTAATCCAATCGGTAAAGTTGTGGACCCAGTACATGTTGTTATGTGTATATATGTGTTATTTGCAGTGTATCGGTATTTTTGGGGTAACTCACTAAGCCTTCGAGCTTACATTTATTGATTATTGTTTCATGTACTTCTGAGAATCGCGGGAAGACAAAGGCGTGATCTACAGCTCCTCACATTTTATTACTATGTTTATGGGATACTCTGATAAAGAACTGTTTTGAAAACAAATTGGTAATAACTGTTGGTTTCTAAATGTTTCAAAAAGTTTAAATTTGTCATGATTTTTATGGGTGTTATAGAGGATATAGTAGATAATTCGTTTTTATGGTTTGTGAATAGAAACTATAAATCTAAAGGTTTTTGGAACAACTGGATCCAAAATCCTTTCTTAACTATCTCTTTGTAATATGGTTGTTCTTTCTTAGCCTTGGCTAGTTTTATAATATTATAGTTGTTCAAAAAAAATAGTAAACACAAATAATTCAATACAAATCCAAAATGGTAACTACTATTCAATACTTCAACAAAATGATAGTAATTACTAAATATCCACAAAATGATAGGTACTATCTAAGTATCCAATACTTCATCCAAATGATAGTGTGGTGGGACAAATCGCCGATGGCTAGAGGTTGTTTGGGGAGTCGTCGACCATGGTTTGGGGAGACCGGTACATTTTTTTTTCATCCAAATGTAAAAAGCGGCTAGGTTAAACGAGAGTAAGGGTTTTTGATTTTGTTGGAAATCTGTCGGAACTTTCCAAAAAATTTACAACAGAAGCCAAAAGAATAAATAAATAACTAAAGCTGGAAGGAACTGAACTCGGCGTTTTGTTTGAAAAGTCTTGTTTTTATTAACTTCATAACAAATTAATGTTTTTATTTGTTTTCTAGGTTTTTAATTTTTTTTTATTATTTCTAATGTAAATAACTTCATAATTTTAGCTTTTTTTTATCCAATTCAAATTCTATATTTTTAGTTTTTTTTGTAATAATTGTTTTTATTTTTTTATATCATGTATATTAAAATTTAAAAAAAAATAACTCCAAATATTAGGAGGGAGAAGCAAAGACAAAAGGTGGGAAAACATTTTCCATTCCCGCTATTATTTTTTCTATGAATTTCCAACAAAATACTAATTTAAAATATTAATTAATATTTTCGTTGGTGTTTTGTAGGAAAATAGCTACACTTTTACAAAGGAATATTTAAGGTATCTATTATGGTGGGTACTTTGTTGGAATTTTGTTGCACTACTTTTGTTGCAATTTTGTAGGAAAATAGATGGATATTTCCAACAAAATTGTTTTGTCGGAAATATTTAGTAGCTAAAACCAAAATTTCTAGTAGTGCGTGCGTTCCAAATGAACATGCCCATATTGCGAAATCATGTTCCACAGTCAATCTATACAAATTTAAAGCACAAGCTTTTCTAGCAGGAAAACAAAAAATAGAAAGAGAAAAACTTACCGTTGATGGAGGACGAAGATCATGCAGGAACGACAAGGATGGAGCTTGGGCGGAGGCGTTTCAGGAGGCAGCAACGGAGGAGATATCGTCGGAGGACATAAATCGTAAATGCATGGGAAGCAATGTTGGCAAGGAGAAGAAGAATAAGCGCAAATAAAGGAGAATAAGGTTTCGTTCTCGGTCAGTGATGTTTTTTTCATCACGGTGTCTGACGTATATGTTGCATATGGACCGAATAAGAGGTATTAAACGGTGTTATCAAACAACCTGGATTGAGGCAGATGAAAGGTCTGACTGACCCAATCAGATTCAAATCAAACAGGCCTTCACTCATATATATATATATATATATATATATATATATATATATATATATATATATATATATAGAGAGAGAGAGAGAGAGAGAGAGTGAGAGAGAGAGAGCTAGATTCAAATGTGGATTGACATCTATTGTACGGTCGTGTGGACAATGCTATTCTGTGAGAATGACAAAGAAAATATGTAGTTTTATAATGTGAATACGTTCAATCTTACATAACTATTATCATTATCACACATTCTCACTAATTAAATTGTCTATAAGGTTATTATAAACTTTTTATTATTATTCTCATTCTTTCAAAATGTTGTCAGAGTCGTATTCTATAAGAATGAAAATTAGTAAAAAAACGATGCCTGAGAACAAAAATGAATAAAAATTAGTGAAATGCATGAAAATGACGATAGTTGTGTGAGGTTTAACGTATTCATATTAACAAACAACCTATTTTCTTAGTAATTCTCATAGAATAACATTATCCACACATCCGCACAATAGTTTTCCATCCACATTATAACCTATATATATATATATATATATATATATATATATATATATATATATATATATATATATATATCATCCAAATATTAATGATGCTGTATGCTTCCGAAAAGATCTCCAAGCTAATGCTCACAGACAAGAGAGTAGTCTAAAGTATTTTTGCAAAAAATTCAAGAAGAATATCACAAGAATATATCATTACTCATTTAATGCAAACACCTATCAAATTCCGAGGATATTAATTCACAATATTATTTAACTAGTTGTGAAACCCGTATATTATACGGGTTGATTAAAACAAAATGTTAAATAGAAACCATTAAATGAGAAGTTTATTTGAATTCAAAATTTGAAATAAATAAAAATTATGAGAAAAAAAACATGCAAAAAATAAATAAATTAAAATTATTGTTTAGTTATCAGACCCGTATACTAAACAAGCTAATTATAACAAAATGTTAAACAGAAAGGTTTAAACTGTAAATTTATTTGAAATTGAAATTTAAATTTAAAATTTAAAATTTGAAATTAATATCATTATGGTAGGTTTAATTTATGGAAACTAATTAACAATATATTAGAAATGGAAAATACAATAAATGACAAGTGGAAAATAAATATATCTCTAAATTATGACAAAATGACATATGGCAAAATCATTCTTATTTATTAGGGTAGACACGTGCAACCCTCCTGGTCGTGGAACCATATTGTGTCACTGTTATATAACATCATCTATAATTCGTCAAAAGTTGTAGTATGATGCCATCATTTGTAAAAATTGAAGGAAATTATTAGTAAAACATGCCAAGTATGTTGATGTTCCTGCAATTTTCTCATTTCGTTATTTATCAATGAAACAAAAAAATGTGAAAAACACACAACTCCATTAGATATATATACCCCTACATGAGAGACCCTTATCCTTGGAATAAGTTACACTTTCTAACTTCTAAGCAGGGGCGGATTTAGGGGGGTTCCGGGGTGGCACCGGCAACCCCTAAATTTTCCGGCCGCAGTGGAAATATTTTCGAAATTTTTTAAAATTTTTATTTTTTCTACTATCGTGCAACTCCTAATCTTCCCGTGCAACCCCTACTATGAAATCCTGCGTCCGCCCCTGCTTCTAAGCATACTAATTTCCCTAAAATATTAAATTTAGATTCCATCAAATCATTAAACTAAAATCCCTAAATCAGATATCATATTTATGAAAGAGAAATTAAATATCTATCTACTTTTTGTTCCTATTATCTTCCTACCTATTTATTTTAGATGATGACAAGTGTTATTAAATTTAATTTAAATTTGATTAGGATGTTAAATTTGTACATTTGTCATCATCTTAAATAGGTATGAAAAAAATAGGAACAAAATGTAAGAACATATTTAATTTCTCTTTACGAAAATAGGTAATTATGAGCAAAAATTGAACCGACTAATAAAAACCCGACAAAACCGCAAAAAACCGCAAACGAAAAGCCGAAACCGATACAAAAACCGATGGTGTGGATTTCGTTTTCCCAAAAACCGAAGGTCTGTAGGTCGGTGCAGTTTTTATCAAGAAACCGGTCCACCAAAACCGAACTGCACAAATGGCATATAAAATAATAAATTACTAATTTATATCATATAATAAATAAATATTATTTAAAACATTAAGAAATATTATTACATATTATATTTTGAGATTGACGGTATTTTTAGCCGTTTAATCACAATTCAAACTTTCAAAATATATTATTGGTCAAACTTAATTTCTATTTTGTTTTTATTGTATATTTAAAACCACAACATGTCGCTTACTGATTACATTTGTGTTATAAGGTTATACCAAAGTCAAACAAAGTTCAACTCTTAATATATTAGTCACCTGTTGTATTTAAATCCATATTTGTTATGGGCTGAAAATTAACTTTTGCATATGAACATTTTTGAAAAATGTAAAATAAAAAACGCACCATAAAATAAACATCAAAAATACCGCACCCAACCATATATTAAGAATGTAAAAATAAAAAAAAGATATATCAAAAAAAGAGAAAAAAAAAAGCACACCATACTATAAACATCAAAAAACCACACCAATAAACATTGAAAACCGCACCAAAGTTTAGACTTTATTAAAAACCGACATCGGACCGATACAAACCGAAACCGCACTTAAAAACTACAAAACCAAGCCATTGGCAAACCGCACCCAAACGGTTTTAAGAATGCAAAAACGCACCTTGCGGTTTGCGGTTCGGTTTGACTTTAAAACGACACCATGTTCACCCCTAAAAATAAGCGTAGTATCCAAAATAAACAGAGAGACTTGCGGCCATTACATATAATATACGTAAAGAGAATAGGGGAATACATTATTATTGATGTGATTTAATGCGTATACATATCACAATCTATGCAAATAGGTGAAAAGTTTGGGGTTACTACATCTTAAAATTTTTGGTTATTTTGGGATATGATTCATAACCCTACAAAGAATATATATATAGAGAAAAAGAAAGAATATAGAGAGAAAAATAACATAGAATGGTGGGTCTACTTGCTCTTTATTTTTCTTTTGGTACAGAGGAAAAGATAATGATGGTGTCCACATGTGGTTTAATTTTCTTCTCATATAAACAAATATAGGATACATAAACAGTTTTGACATCTTTTATTAATAAAGTTAAAAGAGAAATTAAATTGGTTCTTATTTTTTTTATAACTACATATATACTTACCCACTAATACAATGACAATTGGCATTATTCTGCCATCCATTTTAATATATTTTGCTATCCCTAGTATACCCTTAATAAATTAAGATAACTGGAAAAAAAAAAAAAAAACTCACGTAATCAGATGCATCTCTGCCCTTTTCATCGACTATTCCCTTATGATCTTCCATCGCCACCTGATCGAATTAGTTGAGTACAAAACAAATGCCCCAATGATTCAGCTACTCCCCTTCCCCTCTAAGCGCAACTCCAGATTCACCCCAAGTCCCCAATAATCGACCACCAACAAACATGATTCTTGGGGATTTTCTTTTTTGTTGATGCACCAAAAATTAAATCGAATACTTTTCCTGATTCTCAGGTATTCATCCATCCCATTGAAAGGTAATTCATTGATATCCCTATTAGTTCTTCACAAGGGGTATGCATATACATTAGGCCGATGACAAATATGTCTTACTAAAGAAGAGTTTGATTATGGTAATAACGTGTTTGATGAAATGCCTAGGAGAAGTTTCTTTTTCTGATCTGTTACTCTTCTACAGGTTCAAACAGAAATATGCAATGTTAATATGAATCTATGATCTTTTTGCAAATTTATTTAGCTAAGCTTTTATATATATATATATATATATATATATATATATATATATATATATATATATAATATATATATATATATATATATATATATATATATATCTCCAGCCTTACACCTTCTATTTGGCCATGACACTTTCATCAATCACAAATGTTGGAGACTTGGAGTCTTTTTAGTAAGTTAGAATATTTGAAGTTATCAACTTGTCATTGTTAATATATTGATGTTGTTGGTTTTAGGTTTTTATAGCTTATATACATCAAATGTTGGTTTTTCACAAACCTTCAACCTGTGTTTGACAATGGAACAGTAACAAGAAAAAAAAACAGAGCACAAAGATTGCCTAAAGCTTATAGCTTTGTTGACTAAATTAAAGAGAAGGGGTGATTCCCTCAACGTACATACTACTAACCTATTTAAACTCAAAGAGTGCTAAGGTCTTCAGGGGGGTACATGAATTTCATCTGTGCATTCGTACAAATCTGTAAGAAGCCTGAACCGTTTGGGAGCACCACCCCTGTAGAGCTAGAAGCGGTGCTCGGAGTTGCTGCCTGAGACGATGAATCGATCGTAATGGGATCACTTTGTGCGACTGGGGTATATGGAGTATTCGACGGTATCGGACTACCTGGTGGGCTTGATTGCGGGTGACCCGACATATTTGACTGCTCACTATTGGCCCAATCAGACAATGACCCAATTCCTTGATCCGATCCGGTTTCCTGATATGGAGTGTCTGGCACCCATTCTCCATCATCATTATAGACATTTCCGTTAAGATCAAAGCCATCGACGGTGAAGCTTACTCCTGGAGTCACCTTGATCTTATCACTTTTCTCCCACGTCCAACTACGATTTTCTTCAAACACAACCTCACAGCTCACGTACACTTTCCCTGTGTCTGGATCCAGTAGTCTATATGCTTTCGAACCTTTTTCAATTCCAAGATGAACCAGACGAATACTTCTGTCTTCCAATTTCTTCAAATGCCCCTTCACGATTTT